ACGCCGGGGACATGTCCCCGGCAAAATTTGTGATTGGCAGCTGTGTCCCCCCCACTTTCAAAAAAGCCTGCTGATGAGGATTTTTGTTTTACCAGCTCAGATCTTATACAGGGGTCGGCAACCTGTTCCCATCAAAGAGCCATTATTACCCGTTTCCCACAGTAAAGAAAACACCCCAGCAGCCGCGGCGTTGTGGGCGGGGCCTACCCTCAGACAGCAGAGAGCTGCTCACAACCAGGTGACAGCAGCCGGTACCGGTCGCTCGCATGGACATCGCACCCGTGGGGGATTCAACACCCACACTTTTCCAGCTGTTTGCTCACCTCCACACCAGTCTGGTTTCTTTACGTCGCACTCACTCTGTTTGCCTCATCTCCTTCTTCACCTCCCGCTTCTGACAGCCGATGTCGGGTTTCCAGGAGAGCAGGAGAGGGAGGGACGGAAGAGCTCGACTGAATTCATCATTTTACATCTTGACATTAGCTGTACAAAGTCTGAGTTTGATAACGTGAAGAACAACAATTTGCAGAGGTTTATAACTGGAGCGGCGCCAGGTTTTCATTTTTGGGTGGGCCACGGTAATTTTGGACGGACCTTAATAAGCAGTGACTTAAGTGAAGCAGGCAGGACGCGCTAGAAAATTTAGTTTAAAAATATGTCATAAATGTTTTCCCCCATCATTTTTATTTCTAAAATATGAAGTAAAAACTCACAATTTAATTTTCATTCATTTGTCATTAATATGTAGTCTACACCCGTGCGTTAAGTGGACCATCTTCCAGTAAAAGCAAAGCATCCGGCCCACCTCTCCAAATGCGTAAAATGTGCATCACAGCCGTTAGGCGCGCCGCGCGCACCGTCAGCTACGTCAGCCCAGAGAAGAGCAGAGCAAATAGAATAGAGGATAATTGTGTCTGGATGTGGATGGAGATTACATTTTACAGCAGCCTGATCATCATTTAAATAAAACCATCACCTGTCTTCTAGTCCATGCTATCAGCATTATTTTAATTGGTGTGTGTGTGTGTGTGTGTGTGTGTGTGTGTGTGTGTGTGTTTTCCACTTCCAACACTGGTGTAACCAACCAGACCAGAGTGTCCAGTAACGTATTAATGTTACAATTAAACAGTTTCACTTCATGTAGGCTAGGAACGTTTCACCTGCCGTGGCCCGACCGCTTCTGCTCCACATAAACTTTGTGCGTAATCAAATGTCTCTACAGGTGCTTTCTGCGCTGCTATTCTGCCTCAGACTGGATGCGTCATGCGTGTCCATATTAGAGACGGGAAAAAGCGCTGTTCAGCCAAAGTTTCATAATTTCATAAATAGAACATTTTTCCTAGCTCATCCATGCGCATCAGTGTGCGTCAGGGTAATTCTTTCAAAACAGCCAGCATCCTTGAGTTTATCCATCAAAATACAGTCAAATGGAAATATCTGTAAGCTGCCATTTAACTGTTTTGCCTTCTTGTGAAGATTGTTGCAAAGAGAAACAATTAAACCTGATTAACCCCAGAGCCACGCGCACTGCACTGTACGTCTGACTGTAAATGAGGGGGAAACGATTTAATCGGATCCTTTTCTTTTCAACATGGTTTAATGTAAAGTTTCATTCAGTACAAACTTTAGTTACACCGATCTAACGAGACAGAGCCTGGATTTGTATTCTGAACAGTTTAAACATGTTTAAAACGGAGACATGCGTGACGCGTCTAAAATTCGCACCTGCTCCGCTATTATGGAAATTAAACTAACAAGATGAATAACATCAAATTATTTTAGGCACAGACAACATCTCCCACACTTTTGAAAAGCTTGCAACGCGCCTGGTCGCTCGTGTACGTCAAAGTTATCTTTCATAAGAAGATAATCAATAAAACGATTTATATAAAGATGATCCAGAAGTTGTAGCCCGTCTCTGCCGACAATATTTTGATATTTTTCACCCTGTTGGTGGTTTTACTGAGCAGGTACCACTTTTGTCATACGTTTCTTTTAAAAACATGTTTAGACTGTTCAGAATACAAATCCAGGCTCTCAGAACCAGAGCGCATGCGGGAAGATTCCTCCCACTGAAGCGAGTGTTTTCCAAACCCTGTCTCTCAGAGAGACTTGTCACTTAGAAAATGTTCCCTGATTATGAAACTTTGGCTGAATAGCGCTTGTTCCTGTCTCCAATGTGGCGACGCATCCAGGAGCCGTCTGAGGAGAATCCCACAATCTGACATCCTCCAGCTCAGGAAGCGCCTATGATTACGCACAAGCGTGACGCGTCAACCCGGTCTCACAGTAAGACCGGGTCGGAACTGTTTAGGTTTACGCAGACAATCTTTACATTTAGAATTAGCATACAGATGTAAAATTAATGCAGTAAAATATAAAGCTTTTTATTTAAATATCAATTCATTATTTTAAGAGCACAGAGAGCCGCATCAGATGGATGGAAGAGCCGCATGCGGCTCCAGAGCCGCCGACCCCTGTGCTAGCCTACTTTATTGTCCCCAGCAATTTTAAAACCCCACTCAAGTGTATGGTTATTGTCCCCAGCAATTCTGAAAACAAACTGACGCCCTTGTGTGTAGGTGTAATGTTTGTTCTTGTGCGTGTGTGTGTGTGTGTGGGGGGGGGTGCGTCACAGGGGGATCTCGCACAGGGCGCCATTTAGGCCAGCTCCGCCTCTGCTTACAGATATAAAATTAATGCAGTAAAATATAAAGCATTTTATTTAAATATCCATTCATTATTTTAAGAGCACAGAGAGCCGCATCAGATGGATGGAAGAGCCGCGGGTTGTGACATGTTTTCTCCAGGACCAGAGAGGACGCAAACTCAATACATCTCTTTTATTGTGAGGTAATAATTTCTCCGAGTTTTGCAGTTGCGGGCGGGAGTAGACATGCATGCTGCAGGTACGGGCGGGAGTGTAACACACACGTTGCAGTTGCAGGCGGTAATTGTCAGAAATTCAGCGGGAGCGGGCAGGAGCGGGATGAAGAAAACAGTCCCGCGCAGGGCTCTACTGCTGCGTTTGTGTTTCAGTTTTTTTTATGAATTCGATTAAAAATAAAGGCGCCCGGCCCGTGTCCGAGGTAATTACACAGTCGTTGGCCCGAAGCCCGGCCCGACGGCCCTCGGGCCGGGCCGGGCCAGGCCGGGCCGAGGGCTTCAGTGCAGGGCTATAATCTGGGGTTGCTGCAGTTGGTCAGGTCTAGGTTCAGCAACAGGATGTACTCCAAGAATGAGGTCAGCTGACTTCCTGAATATTCTGAATGACCAGGTTATTCCATCTTCCCTGATGGGACGGCGATGTTCCAAGCTGACAACGCCAGGATTCATCAGACTCAAACAGTGAAAGAGTGGTTCAGGGAGCATGAAACATCATGTTCACACATGGATTGGCCACCACAGAGTCCAGACCTTAACCCCATTGAGAATCTTTGGGATGTGCTGGAGAAGGTTTGTGCAGCGGTCAGACTCTACCATCATCAATGCAAGATCTTGGTGAAACATTAATGCAACACTGGATGGAGATAGATCTGGTGACACTGCAGAAGCTTATAGAAACAAACTTAGCAAATGTTTGTTGTAATCAAAGCTAAAGGCAGTCCAACAAAATTGGCCAGGCAGTGTGTCCTTATTTATTTTGTATTTATTTATTTTTAATTAGATGTAAACAGACTGATCTGTACAACTCATCATCAGTAAATAATAAACATGTAGAGCTGAGCACTAATCACCTGCTGAGCTGCAGTGGCGTGTCCAGATGTTTTAAAATGGGGTGGCCCACGTGAGGCACAACTTTGTGCATGGGTGGCACCAATGGTTATGTTTTTTTGTTGTTGTTGTTGTTGTTGTTTTACCTCCAAGCCTTTTGTGGACAATGAAAAGCCTCTTTAAAGGTAACTTAGTGTGGTGGCACCTGGGGTGGCCAATCAGATTCCAAGGGTGGCATGTGCTACCCCAGGCCACTCCCTGGACATGCCCCTGCTGAGATGAACGTTTTAAAGTGCATGTCAAGTGTGCCTCAGAGTCTTACCCCACCCACGTATCAATTTTAAAAAATGCAACATTGGTAGGCGTTGCCTGGAGGACCGAGAGGGCGGAGCCGCGGCAGTGACGAAGAGACGGCTAACTAGACGAAGCTAGCTCCCTTCACTCTGAGCAGTCATTAGAAGTGGAGGACGTTTCTCCCCCTCCTTACCCAGACACTCGAGAAGAAAGGGACCAAGTCTATTTGGAGGAGACAAGCGGACATGAGCCTTATTGTTTTGAGCTTGTGAGTTGCCTGAAATTACCGGAACCGACCCAACAGAACCATCTCTGAATGTAAGTAGCCGTTAGCCATAGCATTGGATTAGCTGCAGGGTTTGTCTCCACGGCCCGAGAGCTAGTATTCAGCATGTTTTAGAGGTTTATCTGCATCAACACACCTGGTTTTAATCAGCAACAAACAGCTGATCTGCTTAACAGCTTATCTAACCTGTTAAAGCAGGAAAATCCACTGAAACGTGCTGGATAGCAGCTCTCCAGGAGATCTGGGCTCAAGCTACAGTCTGCTGCATGAAGTTATGAAAATATCCCATGAGAAAATTATTCTGTAATGTGTTCAGCCCACTAAAACTGTCCTGATTTCATTATTTATTTACTGATACTAGCTGCTCTTGGTTGCAGGTGATCCTCTGGTGTCTGCAGCTGGTCTCCTGCTGATGTCGTCGGGATCAGGAGCTTCCAGAAGAATGTGCCTTTCAATGACTCTTTCCCCCTTATTTGTTATATTAATTAAATAAATCTCAATTTATATATTTCCTGTTTTTGTTCATGTCCATAAATACTTAAACATGCTTGAAATTAAAACGAGCTTTTAACAGTGAGGTGCTAGTTTAGTTCATCACAATAGCTAGATAAACATGCGACAATGTGATAATTCAATTAATATAATTCATAAATATCCATTAAAATATAAAAACTGGAATTAAAGTGAGATATTTGGCAGCAGAAAAAACTTGTCAAACACAATATTTATTATAATAATTGTAGGCAGACAGGAGACAGAGCTGATGGAGGTTCTCAGTCATCGAAGGATGGCTGAAGGCTTTCCAGGAACAGGAGATGTGGTGTTGTCTCTTCTCTCTCTATTCTGCTAGATGAGCTGATAGGTTACAGGTGTGTGAGGACATCCTCATGCTGTCACAACCAGATGACAGGAGTTATCAGGTGATCAGCCAGGCTAATGAGATGCAGAAAGAAAACAAATCCAGGACAGTGTACATTAATAATAATAATATGTGGTGTTGCTTACCTTATGTGCTCTTATAGAGTTATTAACGTGTGCCTGCCTCATGGTGTAGAGTCCATATTTTGCTGAGTGTCCTGCAGTAATGCAGGTTATTAGTTAATTTACTTTTGATAGCAAAAACAAAATATTTAATTTAAAAGTTATTTACCAGGTGAATCAGCTCACACGTCACCACCAAGTGTCACAGGGCCAGAATCAGTAGCCTCCTTCATGATGTAATCACATACTTATTTAATTGTTAATATCTTAAAAATTCAGAAATGTTTTAATTTTTTTACCTTGAACAGTTCACTGAGCTTGCACTGTCACTGAGGTGGAAGCTGGAATCAACAGCAGACACCTCACACCTTGGTCTTTTCAGGAGGTGTGGATGCTCTGGGACCTTCTGGAAGATGAATTTCTGTCATGGTCCCTGTGTCACAAGACACTGAGGCTGTGAGCTCTATAAAAACAAAGAAGCAGCACATTTATAAACGTTTAAAAGAGCATAAAATCACTTGTAACAATCTGTAAAACAAATTAAAACTAGAAGGTAATAAAATGTTTACATAGAAGATTATTAAAAATAATTCACCTTTGCTACGGGTAACACCACGTCAGCCTGGACAAGTGCATTCTTGCAGATTACTAAATCAGTCTGACAGTCAGTGTCTTGGGTAGATTTAGCCTGGAAAAAAATAGAAGCACATTGATGTTTATAAAGTCAGATAAAATACAAAAGACACTGTCCCATATAGGCGCTTTATAACATTCCTAGTGTGTGATGTTATTATAACGTAAAAGTCAGTCACATATGATGTGGAGACCCTGAAATGCGACCTCCTGAACAGAATTCCTCACGGAACCGGGTCACGCTGTGCTAGATTTCACGCTGTAATGCTGTCTGTCAACTAGTGCTGCGTCAGTTTAGAGTCACTGTTGCTGAATTACCGACTGACACAAAAACAACCCGAATTTTCTCTGAGCCTGACAGTCATGTGGACCGTTTTGTCGGCCAGGGCTTTGAGATATGTTCCGATTCGCCGCTGATTCCAACCTTACATCCCGTTCCACATTTTGTGAACTTGACAAATCAGCCCGAAGGCAGTGCAGGCTGATATTAGCTAAATGGAGTGAACCACGTCTCTCAAACTTTGCATTTAGGTAGGAAATTGTCTTTAGAAGATGTTAAAACTTTTATTTAGCTTACTCACCTCAGACTGTAGCCCGTCATGGTGGGGGAGCAGAGTCGGTGGGCTGTATCTAAATCGCGGAAGAGCCACGGTGGGCACAGCCTCCCTCTTGGAACGGAGACGTGCAGAATCGCGGGTAAAATGCTGGTTGCAAACTACAGCACCAGGCGGGAGCTGAATCTTTTCCAGACACGCAACCACTGGCGCCTAATTTCTAAGTCCAGCGGAAAGGAGTGCAACCCGACAGAGCTCCGCAACCATACTACACTACACCATCTCACCATGCTAACACGATATGGAGCACTAAACCCGAACTACTTTCCTAATTACACTAACAGCCAAACAGTAACTAAACTACAATATCCAACAGCCAAGCTAACACTAAATAAGTATGTATAACACTAAAAGCTATGCTAAAGACTAGGATATGCTAATGCTATATGCTAATGCTGAACTACGGCTAGCCTCCTACACTCTCATGCAAATCCAACTCCCAACTCGCCACAAGGCGTGGCCGAGACTCCCGATGCTTTTATAACGTTGACACAGAGCTGCTACGTAGTACTCTACTGGTTTACGTAGTATCTTACTCTTTAGCCATTGGCTAAAATTTATTCAAAATGACTCAAATTCTATGTTTTAAGCTGAAGGTGGAGCTATACTGTGGTATTTAGGCAGAATTTTTAATTTTTTAAGAAAATGCACCAAAATGCTAAAATAATGAATACACACATTTAAAACACTATTAGACACTCATTTATACAGTTCATCAGCAAAAAAAAGTTAATTTAGACGTTACTTGCTCTTTAATGTAACGGCTGACAAACAGAATAAATGTTTTCTGTTGGAGGGAGGCCTTGATACACATGTTGTTGACTTTCAGGAGAGTTTTCTCTCTGACAGCTGATTCTTGTGTGAGCTGAATCTTCTGGATTTTCACAAATCTGATTAAAAAGAGAAACAAACAAATATGAGTTTTGTTTTCTACAATCAGAACATAACGGAGTTAAAGACAACAGGACTGATGTTTTTCTTCAGTAGGAGACAGAATGAGCATCATGGCTGAACATGTTCAGTGAACTAGAAGAGCCGGTGGGTACTACACTTTGATTTAACTTGGAAATAAAAATATACAAACACACAGTAAACAAAAGGGAAGGAAAGCTCATTTACTCACATCATTAATCCTCGTCTTCTCCTCAAGACCAACACTGTCCATTACATCACCGACTCCACCAACTGAAACAGAAGATTAAATTACTGCTTCTCTTGTGTGTGTGTGTGTGTGTGTGTGTGTGTGTGTGTGTGTGTGTGTGTGTGTGTGTGTGTGTCAAACTTACCTTGCAATTTCGTAGAATATTTTTTGAAAATCATCAAAACAACTAAAGTTATAATCAGCAGCAGAACTACAGCAGGCAGAATGTAAAATAAAGTCATGACTGCAAAGACAAAAACAGAGAAGTTAGTGTGTGTTTTTCACACCAACATGAATATTTTACCCCATCATGACAACACACCTCATTTGGTATCTTTGTGGTTTAACGGCTGTTTATTATTAGCAGCAAAAGTCAAACTACAAACACTCAATGTCTCCACTGCTACAGATACATGAAACGGATCTACTTTAATCAGGTCTGGTATTAAAGCTTTTAAACATGTACTCACATGGTGATGATGATGGTGGTGGTGGTGGTGGTGGTGATGTAACGTGTCCAGTCATGGTGCTCAGGCTCACGGTGCTGCTTTCATGTGGAGAAACTATCAATAAATGAGTGAATGGATGTTTTTATTTGTTTTGTTTCACAGAATAATAAAAAAAAGAGCGTTCAGCTATAAACTGACTTCACAGATTTTTAAACTTCTGGTGTTTTGATCATTATATATTTTTGTTGACATTGATCAGTTACAGTAGAAAACTGTTTTATATCCAGTTAATAAACAAACTTTGATTTCATTTGTAACAATTTTAGGTCATTAAACCTGCTTTTATTGTTTTGTTTTCCTGATCTTACCGACTTCCAGCTGAATCCTGGTGTAGTCTGTAAAGCTCCGCTGTGAGTCTGGACCACAGTAGTATCTCCCAGCATCTCCTGCTTCCAGTTCTGTGATGGTCACAGAGAAACAGCTGGAGGAAAGCTGGTGCAGCCTGAACTTTGTTGGATTTGCCATCATGTCTGTGCAGTTGTTGAGTTGGTCTCCTTTACAGAAGAACTTCTCTTTATCTCTGAGCTGTGGTGGATGAGAACACTGAAAGGTTACTGGACGTCCCACGATGCCTCTGATGATGGAGGACTTCACTCTGCAGAACTCTGTTGGAAAGAAGAAGGTTGGAACAAAATAGAAGAACTTTGTAAATTTTAGAAAACTTTGACCCTTTTGCAGAAGTTTTAATGCATATAAAGACATCTGACCTTTGACCTCCAGTTCAACAGCAGAGAAATCATCCAGTCCTGAGTCACTTTGGACTCCACACAGATACGACCCAAAATCCTCCAGCGTCAGATTGTAAATGGTGATCGTGAATGTTCTTGACTTCCTGTCATCAGTGAATCTGAATCGTTTGGTCTGCCTGTCAGAGGTGATTAGAGCCCGCTGCAGACAGGTGGAGGGCTGCTTCCCTCTGCAGACGTACTTCAGGACGTTTTTCTTCTTGGACTCATACGGACACCTGATGGAGACTGAACCGCCCTCATCACCTTGGATTTGAGTCACTTTATCACAGCAGCTGTCTGTTAACGAGATAAACATCTGTGTCAACCAGAGCATCTTTAGATATGAAACAGGTTTTATTTAATCTCACTTCTAATAAAAAACTGTGGTGTTGGCCTAAAATAGATTTGAAGTCAATAAGTTTTCTGATTCCTACAAATGATAGAATTCCTGAAATTTCTGTTTGTTAATTAAAAAGGAATTATTAAAAAAAAAGTGACACCATTTAGATTAAAAACGGTTTTACGCCAGTATCGTTAATCCCTGGTTTAGATTTGTTATTATTAATTTCTTCTATGAACAATAGAAAATCTTCTTTCTTTACCTTTTATTACCTTCAGCTTGACTTCAGTGTAGCTATCAGGTCCTTCCTTTGAGACTCCACACCAGTATGTCCCAGTGTCATCAAGCTTAAGATCAGAGATGGTCACTGTGAAGATTCTCTTGTTCTCATCATCAGAGATGGAGTATCTATTCTTTCTTTGTTGTTTTGCTGTTATTAGAACATCTTTGTAACCACAGTCTTCCTTACAGAAGTACTTTTCAGTGGATGTAAACCACCACGAATATGAGCAGGAAATCTTCACATCTCTGCCTTCATATCCAAACACCTGGATCACAGATGCCGTTTGGGGCAGACGACTAAAAGCTGCTGAAGAGAGAAAAAAAACACAAATTAAAAGGTTTTAAAAACTTGTTTGAAAACCTGAACTTCTGCAGGACTTATTTTTTAAGGAAGATGTTTATTTCTAAAAGACAAAAAGGATGTGATCAGTTTTTTCTTAACTGGTGCAACGTTCACTGAGACGTTCAACAACAAAAAAATCCTGTTTTAGTGATAAACTAATAGGTGATTAAAGTAATCAGTCAAACAAAAATCAACTGAGATTAAAACTCACTGCACAGGAGGATCAGCAGGTTCTGGAATCTCCACATCTTCATGATCTTCAGCCGTGAAACAGAAATTATTACCAACAACTGTGTGAAACACGATGAGGAAGCGGCAGTGTGTATGTCTCTGAACTCTGAGTGGGCGAGTCTCCTGCTTCACGAGCACCAACAGCAACTCATCCTTCTGCTCATTAAAACTAAAAAGTCTTTAGCACCCCTTGGTGAAACGTGTGTATCAGTCTTCAAAAAAGCCAGATTAATAAATAACAAAACTGTAAAATAAAGTTAAAGTCCTGTTAGTCATCATTACAAAGTGGTAAGTTGGCCCATCCCTGTGGGTATGGCTGCAGTAGGGAACTATTTGGTGGTTTAACCCCAATCCAGGGGTAGGAATTGGGTCCCATTTTTACAGCCTTTGGTATGAGCCGACCAAATTTGATCTCCCAGTCCCAGTGTTGACACTCTACCACTAGGCCACTGAGAAGGTCATTAATAGTCAGAATAATCAAAATGTTCAATAATAAAAGTAGAGGAAGTCACTGTGAACTTAAATTTTAACCCCCCCAAATTTTATATTTATTTATTTATTTTATTGCTGAAACATTTTATTTACATACCCTGACTTATCTCCAGTTTCACTTCAGTATAGATGTCATTTACGGGCGTGGCCACTCCACACCAGTATTTACCAGCATCAGTAAAACGAGAAGCTGAGATGGTCGCTGTGAAGATCCTTGATTTTCTGTCATCATAGATGGAGTGTTTGGTTTTGTTTGTTTGTGATGTGTTAATGAGAACATCATCGTTGTCAGTACAATGGTTTCTGCACAGGTACTTTTCATGATCCTCATAACTGTTGTGATAGGGGTAGGAGATGTGAACATCACTGCCCTCATATCCAACAGCAGCAGCAGCAGCACAGGTCACACAGCTCAGAGCAGCTGGAGAGACACATAATAATAATAATAAAAAACTAGAAGTTAAAATTCCAGTAACACGGGTTTCATTATATTATTTTTGTGTTCTTAATGTGCAACAATATCTTCAAAATTGACAAAAGTCTGAGTAACTGCACAGGAGGAAGAGAAGGTTGTGAAGAGCCTGCGTCTCAGCTTCCTGTCTTGAGACATAAAAATATCACCAAGAAGTGAGACCATACTCATCTAACCAGTTTGATGACTGAATGAGAACAATATGGGTTAAATGCTTTTTGCTTTCTGCAAATTATACAGATATTAATGTATTTTAATCATTTGTTTGAACCATTCTATGTTGTATGTACGTTTGTTTGCGTCATTTGGACCCAATGCTGATCGTTGCGGGACACCACATGTCATGTCCAAGCATGATGACCTTAATTCTTCCTGTTTTTGATCTGTAGTGTTCATGATGTCTTCCTCTTTTCTGAATCCATATTGATTTAAAAAAGAAAAATGTATGCTCTACTGTACTGTTTTCTCAGATTTTGGAAAATTTTAAATGTCAAGAAACGTTTTTGTAATATGTGCAAACACGTTGGATGTAGCCCACAGACTTAACAGGAAACGGCAAGTAAAAAAAACACATCTGACAGAAGCTGCTGTGAAGTTAAAGCTGTGTGACCATCAGTCCGTCGCTGTCATAGGCGTCATTTTAACCGGGGACGCCGGGGACATGTCCCCGGCAAAATTTGTGATTGGCAGCTGTGTCCCCCCCCACTTTCCAAAAAGCCTGCTGATGAGGATTTTTGTTTTACCAGCTCAGATCTCATACCAGGGGTCGGCAACCTGTTCCCATCAAAGAGCCATTATTACCCGTTTCCCACGGTAATTTTGGACGGACCTTAATAGCAGTGATTTAAGTGAAGCAGGCAGGTCGCGCTAGAAAATTTAGTTTAAAAAGATGTCATAAATGTTTCCCCCCGTCATTTTTATTTATAAAATATGAAGTAAAAAATCACAATTTAATTTTCATTCATTTGTCATTAATATGTAGTCTACAACCGTGCGTTAAGTGGACCATCTTCCAGTAAAAGCAAAGCATCCAGCCCATCTCTCCAAATGCGTAAAATGTGCATCACAGCCGCTAGTTAGGCGCGCCACGCTCACCGTCAGCTACGTCAGCCCAGACAAGAGCAGAGAAAATAAAGAATAGAGGATAATTGTGTCTGGATGTGGATGGAGATTACATTTTACAGCAGCCTGATCATCATTTAAATACGTAAACCATCACCTGTCTTCTAGTCCACGCTATCAGCATTATTTTAATTGGTGTGTTTGTGTGTGTGTGTGTGTGTGTGTGTGTGTGTGTGTGTGTGTGTGTTTTCCACTTCAAACACTGGTCTAACCAACCAGACCAGCGTGTCCAGTAACATATTAATGTTACAATTAAACAGTTTCACTTCATGTAGGCTAGGAACGTTTCACCTGCCGTGGCCCGACCGCTTCTGCTCCACATAAACTTTGTGCATGATCAAATGTCTCTACAGGTGCTTTCAGAGCTGAAGAGGCTGTTCTGCCTCAGACTGGATGCGTCATGCGTCTCCATATTAGAGACGGGAACAAGCGCTGTTCAGCCAAAGTTTCATAATTTCATAAAAAGAACATTTTTCCAAGTGACACATCCCTCAGAGAGACCGGGTTTCCAGACCGCTTCAGTGGGAGGAAATCTTATCGCATGCGTCGTGGTTCTGCACTGCGCTGCGAACCCCTCTGCAGATCTTCCGCCCACTGTCCACCGTGGGCGCTCCGAGCCGCGCTGAACACAGTGTCCAGTATAAAGCTCTGATGTTCTGATGGGAATCATTTCTTGATGGATTTAGTTACATCCGCGATGTGCGATGTGCGTAACGATTAAAGCAGCTCATCTGTGTGTGCATCAGTGCGCGTCGGGGTAATTCTTTCAAAAGAACCAACATCCTTGAGTTTATCCGTCAAAATAAACTGTCAAATGTAAATAAATGTAACCTGCCATTCAACTGTTTTGCCTTCCTGTGAAGATTGTTGCAAAGAGAAACAATTAAACTTGATTAACCCCAGAGCCACGCGTATAAGCTGTACTTCGTGAGGGGGAAACGATTTAATCGGATCCTTTTCTTTTTGTTGTTGTTTGTTTATGTGCTTAGCAGACGCTTTTACCCAAAGCGACTTACAATTTTTTTTTTAACCTATAGGGCATGTTGTGATCTGTGGGGGAAAACGGAGTACCCGGAGAAAACCCACGCATGCATGGGGAGAACACGCAACTCCACGCAGAAAGGCGAGTTTTGAACCTGCGACATTCGTGCTGCGAGGCAACAGTGCTAACCACTGCGCCACCATGCAGCCCATCACAGATTGTTTAACATGGTTTAATGTAGTTTCATTCAGTAGTTGCACCAATCTAACGAGACAGAGCCTGGATTTGTATTCTGAACAGTTTAAACTGGGGAAGGTCAGAAAAGGATCCGATCAATTTGTTTTCCCCTCATTTACAGTGACGGAGATAACGGCGCAGTACGCCTGGCTCTGGTGTTAATCAAGTTTAATTTTATCTCTTTGCAACAATTTTCACAAGAAAACAGAACAGTTAAACGCAGGGCTTGTGTTGACCAGATAGTTCCCGTTTTGGCCATTTGACCGTTTATTTTGACGGAGAAAGAATAGAAAGAATTACCCCGACGCATGCAGACGAACTGACACTTTATTCCACTTAAATCGCAGATGTAGCTAAATCACTCAAGAAAAGATTCCCATCTGAACATCTGAGCTGGACATTGCTCAGCGCAGCTCGCTGTCAGCATAAGGTCCACGGCGAGCTGAAGATGTGGAGAGGGGCTTGGAGCGCGTCACAGAACCAGAGCGCCTGCGGGAAGATTCCTCCGACTGAAGCGAGACTTGTCACTTAGAAAATGTTCCCTGATTATGAAACTTTGGCTGAATAGTGCTTGTTCCTGTCTCCAATGTGGCAACACATCCAGGAGCCATCTGAGGAGAAGCCCAGAATCTCACATCCTCTTCAGCTCAGGAAGCGCCGATATGATTACGCACAAGCGTGACGCGTCACCCGGTCTCACAGTCATACCGGGTTGGACCTGTTCAGGTTTACACAGACAATCTTTACATTTAGAATTGGCATACAGATGTAAAATTAATGCAGTAAAATATAAAGCATTTTATTTAAATATCCATTCATTATTTTACAAGCACAGAGAGCCGCATCAGATGGACGGAAGAGCCGCATGCGGCTCCAGAGCCGCGGATTGCCGACCCCTGTGCTAGCCTACTTTATTGTCCCCAGCAATTTTTAAACCCCACTCAAGTGTATGGTTATTGTCCCCAGCAATTCTGAAAACAAACTGACGCCCTTGGTCGCTGTAAAGAAACATAAAAACTAAACATACTGTTTAACTGAGTTAGTTTATCTAAATTATGTTTTAAATCACTCTGGTATGAGGTTGGCAACAAAGCCTCTGCATGGAAATTAGAAACATTATGGGTTTAGACCACCAGTTTCCTCTTTCTGACAGTCATAAACAAGGTTCTCCACAAGTTCAGATTCAGTTAATAAACAAGTGGAGCTCTCAACCCCTCCAGTTCCTCCTCTGCAGTGAGTTTGTGGCTTTTTAAAAACAAGTTATCTGTTTAGATCGAAGGGTCTTTGACTTAGAGATGCTCTTCTGATTACTTTAATAAACACAGCTATTTTTGGAGGTAAAACATCATCATTGCAAAGTGAACGGTCAGTGGTAGAGTCACGTTGTTGTTAGCCAGTCAGAGGCAAGATATCTGAATATCAGGAAATGAGACTCCAAATCCACCTGTCTGCTGCTCACCCCTACTCTGGCTCACTTCTAGTTCCTGAAACAGGAATAGGGATCCACTCACAGGGTATTCATTTATAATAGAGACTACTGAAGATGGGTTGAAAAAACAAGTGAACTTGGTCTTTAAAATCAAGCAAAAGTCTTTAAAACATTCATTCTTGAGAGTCGGGACAAAACAGGTTTTAAAATATAGTTTTTTAAATGTACACTATATTCATTTTAATGATCTATTTGTGTAGAGTAAAGTCTAAGCTATATAGCCATGTAAAGGTGCAGGTTCTAAATAAGAAACATATTTTTAACAATTTCACTTTTTTAGAGTAAGAACTCGATTTGTGTCAACTCCGTCAGACACACTAAAAAGAATGTGCTTTTAATTTATGGAGTCCAACAACAATGTAAAGGTCTAAACTATATTGTAATAGGTTTTAGTTACACGTATATGTAATAATATTCACAATATAAACTGTAATTGTAATTTTACACTTTTAAGAAAAGTTGGATCTCTAAAAATACCTATTTTAAAACTCTGCCTTTGATTTTAAGGTTCTAAAAATCA